AAACCATAAATCAGATTGAACATACAAAAACTAGAATTAACTTGACTTTAACGAAAAAAATAAATACCCTTGAGATGCTGCTGTAACATTATGTGTGTAAGAAAGTGCATCTAATATGTAGTGTGCAAGGGATATAGGTAAAACACAAGTTTTGGCGGCTCTTATCGGCACATTCGCAATAAACCTTCGTGCGCACTCTCTAATTATATTCAATTCAGACTGAGTTATCTCAATGCGACGCAGAAGGGAAACAAGTTCCGTCTCCTGAAGCAGAAATAATTAGTTCTTGAACAACAACCATAAATATGTTACAAAATCTACTGCTACTACTATTATTATTCCTACTGTAAATATCACCACCGTGTTGCTATTATATTCTTACAAATAAATTTCAAGGAAAATTTTCCAAAAAACTTACAAGATGGTACAATTTGACTTCAAGAAATTTTGTAGATGCAGGACTTCTGGGCATTTCCAAGACAAATATAGCAAGTGCGAAAGCAAGTTTATATGTTGTTCGTTCCCTCATTAACGTTTGAACCAAACAGTTTGTCCTTTAAAAAACAAAAATAAGCAGTTCCCTCAAAAATTTCAAACTCCAGAGATTAAAATTCGAAAAAAGAAACCTAGTGAGCATAACCAATGCATTCTGACAGCTTTCCGCAGGCCGCAGTCCAGTTCCCAAGTTGGGATAGTCATAAAGAGTATTGTCGTCTTCCGAGACTTCTGCTAAGTCATCAAATTCTCTATGCAGCCTCAGGCCCTAGATCAATCAAAATATAAGAAAGAATTCAACGGTACATGTGAAAATAACTGAGATGCTACAAAACGAAACCGTTAGAAATTTCAAATAAAATATCCGCTGACAGAAAGTACTAACTTCACTGATATTCCTCCTCGGTCTCCTCATTATTTCATTTGCCAACTCGACAGCAATTTTGCAAGCAAGTTGATGGAAGCCATGAGACATCAAAGCCTCGTATTTCGTGAATTTAATGTCAAAGGCAGACATAGGTTCGTGAGCAAAAGCAAATAATTCATCAATATCGCCAGAAGGCAACTCCAGTCTACAAATATTTAGTGAGGAAGATCACCACCAAAATTATGGAAATGAACCACTCATAGAGAGAAATTGTAAATTGCAATGTGAAAAAGGTCTGTTAATACAAAACAAAACATACTTCCTTGGATCTGCTCCGTCCCTTGAAGAATTGATATGAAGACTATTAGATGCTAATGGCTTTAGACTTGAACCGGTATCTTCACTCTCTTGACCTGACTCCGCACTCTCTTCTTCGACCTCTTCGCTTACAGCCTGTTCCCGCACATTTTGAACATCCAGCTGTACAAACCTAGCATCTGTGTTTTTACTACAGGACTGTGACTGATGACTTCTCTTTCGCAACATTTTGTTCTTCTTTTTACGCTTTGAAGAGTGAGAGGAACTCTGTAAACACAGAAGCAAATCCAAATTTTCAAAAAAGCGTGCTAAAAATCTTGACAGCAACAGGGTATAAGCTGCAAATAAATTTAAAAATAAGAAAAAAGAAGACAAAAAGAAATTAAGTAGAAGAGAAAATTCGCTGAGTAAGACCAGCCAGTACCAGCAGAAGTTAAATCATGATCCCAGTTCTAAACCATAATCGTTTTTAAATCTACCTGCTGATATGTATTCCGATGATGATGATGATGGCGGGCATTTCGACATCCCGAGGTGCTTGGCATTTCATTCTCCGAAATTTTTTCTATGAAACGATTGCAGCGATGAGAAGCCCCATGGCTAAATCCAAAAGAACAACCACAATCTGCTGCCTCAGAAGTACACTGCGAAGACGAAACTAAGGCGGAAAAGAACTAAAAATATTCTATAAAAATATTCTGCTAATGTTACTAAAAACTTGCAATGCTTGAAAAATAAAGCTACAGCTCAACTAAAGAAAAAACACGTACATATATACATTAAAAGATTGTTTAGACAAACTTGATCAATGCTAGGGTTTCTGGTGCCATGATTGTCAATGTTTTCGCATTCAGACACATCCCAACTGACATAACAGGCTTTTAAAGCATTGAAAAAGCCAGGAAAAAGATCTACTGTAAAGCGAGCATTTTCTGATGATAAACGCTCCCCTTTCCGATCAACAACTGTGACCACCAACGGCACACCTTGCTAAAAACAAAATTTTCTAGACCAAGCACAAGTTACTGATAACACTGAATAAATGCTTCCGGTTACGAGTTCCGACTATACGGTTCTAATCAACAACGAATGTAAAAACCATACGGACTGCCCCGTGTTCTTTGGATCCGACGAACAAATGATCTTCCATATTTTTTCGCAAGCACTTCGATGATATAATTGTAAATAAGTCCCCAACTAAAACCACACAAGGATAAACAAAGAACAAAAGCACAGTTCAATGACCGATGAAAAATAAACTGATCTCGAAACCTGTTCCCTCTCAGAAGAAGAAAGACGCGGGTTCAAAACAGCAAGCCTCCACAACTGCATAATTTCTTCACAAAGAGATGCACAACTGAACTGAGGTACACTCTGATTAGACATAAGTGGGTTCGGCTTGTTACCAGCAGAACAAAGAAACCAGCTTCCGGAGTAAGTCAAACACGTCTGGTACCACCAAATCAAGACCTGTAAAAAATATACATAAGAAATCCTAGAAAAGTAGACATAAAATTATTAAATTTTTTTTATAAAATAAACCTGAGGATTCCCTAAACACTCTTCTGTGACAATGTGCAAGAGTGTCGTAGCATTTTCGTCATGCCGTTTGAACATTTCTCGAACAATAGACATTAGATTCCATAAGCCTAATAAGTGGAATTAAACAATGAACAAGATATTGTACTTCAAAAAATAAATCAGAAAAGGAAGTCAAAAACTGAATAAAGTACTCCAACCTTCGGGTTCTTTAGAACGATGAGGTCGAAGAAGCAATTGCCACTCAGCAGCTGCAGCTGGCTGACTTGAAGAGAGGTAGTGAACATCACTAAAACACAGAATTGTCGTTAATGGGCACTTTTTAAAAACAACCTTTTAGGAATAAGTTAATCAGAAGGAATACCAATGAACTGTTGGCGAAGGAAGGCAAAATTTAGCAAGAATTCTTCTGATGTTTTCGTGCAACATTTTTTGATCTAAACACCAGATGGCAACATCATCATGTGCTCCATCAGTTGGGTCCGGAGCGCCAATCGCAGTGTGTATTTCAGAATTTGCGTCACGGAGTTGGTCAATCAAATGCTGGGCTAACGGAAGATACTAAATAAAGAAAACTCATTAAACTGTCGTTTCAAAAATTGAACATAAAAACATGTTTAACGTGTATTAAAAAAATAAGGCCAAATAAATAAAGCCAAGAGGAGCCAAATATCTCTTACGCACAAGATTGATAGTCCAAAAAACTAAGATGGCAAATTACCTGTCGCGGCAATTCGTTAATAAAGAACTGAGCAAATTTTTTCAACTCCCTCAAATCCAACTCATTTATTGCATCCCATATAGTGACACGATAACTAACTTCTTGACAGCGATTTATGCGATGCAAACAAGCAGCAACAACGTGCTGACACCAAGAAGCTTTATAATTACAAGAACAAGTGCAAGAGACAATACGACACCTGAAGAAATTTAAATCTGCAGAATGAAAAAGAAGACAAGGATTCAAATGACTGCCATAAAAATCCCCTTTTTCCTACCTGTCGATAGTAACCGAAACGTTATGAGCTGTTTTACACAACTGCCTCCCCTGAAGTACGTTTTGTGAAGTTGGAGAAACGCTTGGATTCATGAGTTCCCCACTCATTGATCCAGTCACTGATCCCACAACTGTTGCAGAAAGATGATAACCTAAAACAATCATAAACATTTAGGAAAAATTAAAAAAAGAATTTATGCAGAGATTATACCTATCTGAAAAACGTTTCGCACTGCGTCTGTTTGATACAAATATTCACCACGACCAAACTCTTCAACATTTCCATTCGCCAAGCAGCTAAAAAAATTCTTTTTGCAAAATCAGAGTTATGTATGATTATTATTGTTTATGAAGCCCAAAAAAATCCCCAACATTCAAAATTGATTAAAGACGAGGAGTACAAAAAAAAAGTTGACATTAAAAAAACTTATACAGGTTGTTCTTCACCACTTTTAAATACCAACCTGTATAACCGGATATCTTCTTCACTTTCTGGGAAACACCATCGCACTATACTCAGAAAGAATTTATCAGGGATGGCAACATGAGCTAAGGAATCGTCCACCGATAAAGAGTCATTTCCAAAGCCAAAAGATCCCCCTCTCTGAGGATCTTGATATGTTCTAATTTTAGTAATGCTGCGATAAGAAGCTTCCAAAGCACTGAATGAAAAAAATTTCGCAGCCTTTCGAGCTGCTAGTTCTGCGAGACTACGCGGGCAACTGACAGAAGAACCTAGAATAAAGACGGTGCGGAAAAAAGTTTTAAAACTCTGCTAGGGTAGTCATTAAACAGTGGAATAAAACACCTCTTAAACACTTCTTCGTTTGGAGTTATAAACTGAAAAAAATTATAGTGATAGTTACTTGCTGTTCGAGTATTCCTAATACAACTTTGGTAGGATGAACCAGCAGTTGGAGAATTGACTTTCAGTGTACCGCTAGAAGAATGGCGTGAACGATGTGACCCGCTTGAATAACCACTTAAATAACGATGGGAAGTCGTTGCAATCGGCAAGGCTTCAGGATATGGTATGTCTAAAATCAGCTCTAGTTTAACTTATTTGAATTCATTCTACTGAAATAATCTAAAATGCATTTTCCTTCGTATTCACC